ATATTTTATTGATTTTTTTTACAAAGAGGAAGGGAGAGGGATAGAGAGTTAGAAACATCGATGAGAAAGAAACATCGATCAGCTGCCTCCTGCACATCCCCTACTGGGGATGTGCCCGCAACCAAGATACATGCTCTTGACTGGAATGGAACCTGGGATCCTTCAGTCCACAGGCCAATGTTCTATCCACTGAGCCAAACCTGATAAGGCGAGAGCCAAATTTTTTCATAGTATTTTTGATTGATTGATTGATTGATTGATTGATTATGGTATCACATAATTGTCCTCATCTCCCCAATCCTATCCCAAACCCCTCCCTACATATGGCCCCCCCAACCCCTCCCCCCTCATTGTCCATGGCCGCTGGCCAGGCCCATATGCATGCACACAAGTCCTTTGGTTGATCTCTTCCCTTTACTCCCACTCTCCCCTACTTTCCCTCTGAGGTTTGAAAGTCTGTTCACTGCTTCTCTTTCTCTGGGTCTGTTTTTGTTCATCAGTCTATGTTGTTCATCCTTTCCTCTAGATGTGTGAGATCATGTGATCTAAGAAATACCCTTGTAAGAACCTAAATTGAGGTTATGCCATAATGGTTATGCTGAGAGGCAAATGAATCAGTCTGTAGTGAGTTCCTTTCTGGGCCAACAGTTCTTTTGAATCCCAATTTCAATGTCAAATACTTCCTTATGTGTACATGTCAGCCATGCTATTTCAGATCTGGTTGGTGGACAAATGGTGGTGATGCAGGTCCAACCGTCTCTGGTTTGGTCAGAGAGCCAAATTTTTTAAACTTAAACTTTTTCTAACACCACTTCTTCAAAACAGACTCCCTTGCCCAGGCCGTGGTATTTTGTGGAAGAGCCACACTCAAGGGGCCAAAAGAGCCTCATGTGGCTCTCGAGCCACAGTTCGCCGACCACAGCCCTAGGTAATAGCATTATTTAAGGAGAGCCGGGGAATCAGCTGTGTTTGAGGAAGAACATGCATTGACCTTTGGAAAGGAGAGGTGCTCAGAGAAAGAAGAATCTGGGTATAGTCCTTTTTTTTTTTTTCTTACAATGACTTCCATTAGAATGTTTGTGTCACCTTCCCCTCTGGATTATAAACTCTTTAAAGACAGGGAGTCTGTAAACTTTAATAGGCCCCTTAAACAAGAGTACACTGATTCACAGTCTGTGAATAATCAGTGAATTCCTGCCAGGATTCTGCTTTGCAGAAATCCAATGTGATCAAAGCTACTAGCAAGATGTTTTCTCCTAAAACATACATAATTTCCCAATGGACAGTATGGCAGATTAAAAATAAGTGAATAAATAAAGGGGATCATGTATAATCCACTGATATCCATGCTAATCACATTAACCACAGTGAATTAATTATACCTGAAAACAGATGCAAAGTTAAATTCCTTAGAAAATCAATTCATTAAACTCATATTGGAATGCATAGTCAACAACCCCATGTTTAGAAACTATGATTTGTAGCAACTTCTGATTTACTAAAGAAACTGCTTAAAATATTTTAAAGGCAATTACAATTACTGTCTGGCATTTGATGGAAAGAAATATCGTTAGCATCGTCCCTAATGTGTCAACTGTCACAATTTTCTAAAATTTTTGAGGCAAAAAATAGGCAGGCTCTACTATTTACTAGCCTCGATTAGGGTTAATTCAATGTGTGTCTGCAAATAATAGTGTTTAATGTAATCTCTCTAATTACAGATAAAATGCATTTTCAGTCATGCTCATCACTGACAGTATTTTGGGATAAGTTAAACTGACAGCTGCTTTCTAAAGGAAAGAAAAAAAACAAACCTTCCTTGAGGTTGTTCTAATTTTCACTCTCTCTGTCTTTTTTTTTTTTTTTTTTTTTTGCATTGAAGTTCAGAAAAAATATGAAACTAGACACTTTTGCTCTAGATAGATACCAACTTTGAAAATCATGACATAGTCTATCTCTTGAGAATTTGGAATGTTTCCCACCTCCATCAATAAATAGTAACTTGAATTTACTCAACAGGCATTTTCTAAGGGTTTCAGGGAACCAGGCATTGTGCTAGGCCCGTTAGAGATTGGGAAAGAATGGTTCTACTAAAACTGTCCTCTGCAATTGGCCCCATGAGTAAGTCAACTTCCTACTATACTAGACATGTTAGTCACAGTGACAATATAATCACAACCCCTGCAGACAGAAACTATTCAAGCTATAATATTTTCTGAAGGGTCAGTCTGTGTTCTTCCTCCATCACAGCTGATTGGACCAGCCGTGACCCCAGGGCACCAAATCCACAGATTGTTCAGGGTCCTCAGTTGGCCTGGCATGATTACATTTTCTCTCTCAGGAATAGGAATTGGGAAATACTGAATAAGGGGGTGAGTGGCAAAAGTGAAATTAGACGGTGATAAGACAAGAACCACAAGACAGAGAGAATTATGACCATGAGGGGGCAGGCTGCATCCGGTCTATGAGGTTATGAAGATGCAGAAACACAGGACCTAGTTCAAAGGTGAATGAATCGAGGAATTAATAAATGAACAAATAATTATGACTTAAGATGTCTTGGGATTTTTTTTGGTAGGGTGAAAACATGACTGACTCACACTGAGTCATCATCCTTAATATTGCTGGCACTAAAAAAAAAACAAACAAAAACCTGTGCTGCAGATGGGCTATTTTTCTTGTGTCCTGTGTATCTTAATTGGGATTTTAGTTCAGCTTTCAATAATGGAAAAACTCAAAATAAACAGTGATTTAAATAAGGAGTTTCTTTCTCATGAATAGTTTAATATAAGAAACCCAGGACTTAAAAGGATAGCTCTTCTCCACAAAACTCAGAGACCTAGGATTCCTTCCAAATAATTTTTCCACAATTCCTAGGAGGTACCCTTATCTCCGTAGTCTAAGCACCATTCATGTTTCAGATAGAAGATGGAGAGAGGGAAGAATAAGAATAGGTGAATGACACCAGGTATTGCTTAAGATGGGTTTTTAGAGCTTGGAAACATCTTATGTATGATTTTGAGGTGAAAATTAAGGAAAGATCCAAGTTGTACTTCCAGAAATAGGGGTGACACCAGAAAGCAGTACAGCAAGACAATTCATTAACAGAAGTGGCACCTTAAAGCCAGGGCTACTGTAGAAGTTGGCAGAATTTGAAGATATCGCGAGGAGGTCTTTGGACCTCCCTATTTATGGAATAGGGAGTTCAAAACAATCCCTTATAGATCCTAAAGAGCAGAGACCTCAGCTAATGTGGGCTACAGCATATTCCAAGATCAGGCCTATCATGAGCCATCCTAAAATATCACCTATCATGATACTGCTCTCGATTCTTCTCCAAGATGAAATTTCTACCTGCAGAGACACTTTCTGGGGCCAGACAATAATAATGTCCCTAGAAGTCTGCTGTCAGATGCCATCTGGAAGGAGATGGGTATATAGGACATAGTACCCAGATGGCAATGTCACTTATATCCCATTGACCAGAACAGGCTGCCAAGACCACCCCTGGCTGCATGGAAGTGTGAGAAACATGTTTATCCTGAGGGGCCATGTGGGTGCCAAATGTTCTATTTCTATGTAAAAAGGCGTGGCAGTTTTTATAAAGTTAGACCTACCCAGCGATTCTACTCTTATGTATTTACTCTAAAGAAACGAAACATGTTCGCACAAAGACTATAAGTGTCTCAGTTTTGCAAGATGAAGAGTTCTGAAGATGGGTTAATGTGAATGTGTTGAACATCCCTGAACCATAAACCTTAAAAATGGTGAAGATGGTGTTATGTGTATTTTACCACAATTTTTAATATATTTTAAAAATTGATTTCAGAGAGGAAGGGAAAGGGAGAGAGAGAAAGAAACGTCAATGAGAGAGAATCATTGATTGACTGCCTCCTGCACACCCCTATTGGGAATTGAGCCTGCAACTCGAGCATGTGCCCTGACTGGGAATCGAACCATGACTTCCTGGTTCATAGGTCGACACTCAACCACTGAGCCACTGTGGCTGGACTTACTACAATTTTTAAAGAAGTCAACATTGACTTCTTGTATTATCTTTCTGTATTTAACTTATGGAAATTCAACTACAGGCAAGTACCCCTTACTTAGTCCTGACCTTCTTGCCTCTCTTCCCATTTAAAACCCAACTTTTGCCCCTAGTGACCTTTCTTTCCTTTTTTATTTTGCCAGGCCCCTATATTTAAATTCAAATGCAAGATGATGCTTCATTATATCTCATTTTTTCCTCCCTAACCATCTTTTATTGCTGAGGAAATCAAAGTACTGCTGAGCAGCAGGAAGATGGGTTTGTTTGGCTTTTAGACCACTCATGGCACCTCAGTGTCACAGAAAATGCTTTATGCATAAACTGATGAAGTAAATCACGAGAGCTCCACATTTCTCTTTTTGAACCACCAAAACACAGGAAAAATGTGTTTGCACTAACTCAGTATATGCTGTGCGGTGTAGAATTGAATAAAAGTTGCATTTGCGTTGCTCCCAGAGAGGGGTGTCTAGCAATGTAGTAGTAATGGCTTCTGCAAAAAGGCAGAGTACCAATCAATCTTTGAGAACTCTAATCCTGATTCTTGTAAATACTGATTCATGGACAATTGATATCCCATCATCTTGATATGGAGATCAATCCTTCATACGCCTAAAGAATACACTTAGGCCATGAATTGTTAGCTCCCTTTAAGTTATATACAATTGAAACAAAAAACAGTTTCACACCCTGTGCATTTGTATCTCAAAGCACCCAACAGCTCTTTGCCCGCAGGAAAGAGTCATGGTTAAATGGTTATTGAATTCAGAATGTCCTTCTTCCCAATCAGTGAGGTTTAATATATTTCCAATTGGAATGCCTATTAATTTTTCAGCATTAGTAAGCCTTTAAAAAAATCAATTTGGGGATGTATTGAGTTCACAGCAGACACTATTACATAAATGATAAAGAAAATACTGGTAAATGAAGCATGCTTATTCAACACACCAGTAGCCATTGATAAAATGTAATTTAATTTAATCATTTAAATTTACATGGTTAATGTACAAGAGCATTTCTTTCAAACCACAGGTTAAACACATACTAAAGAGCAATGCTGTTTGAGGGGCAGAGCAACTCTGGAAAACTCTGCTGTCTGAAATGAAAGCAAGGCACTCTCCACTAACAGCTGGTGGATTCCTGACTTCTGCCCACAGGAGGCCTCTTCACGCTGAGAGCTCTCCCCCGCCACGGGAGGAATCACCTGCTTTAATTCTTGCTGTCCTCTTCTGAGCTAGTTAGGTCATCCACTCCGTATAAACTTGTGTATCCACATAAAGACAAAAAAAGAGTTGATAGATGGCGTGGGAGTCTCCCCAGGCTCTCCTAGTTGCAATGACTATGGAAGACAGCAGAACGCTGGCTATCTTTGTTTTCAGCATTAAGTGTCTGGGTCTCTCACTAAGAATCTTCTTCATTGCTTCCAACCAATCGATATTACAATTAAAAGGTCTTCTTCCTTAAATCTGATGGGTGTAAAAATGAAAAGGAACAGCATTCCTCTAGAGCTCTGTGTTTTCTTTTTCTTTTCTTTTTCAGACATGACAAAAAAAAACAAGGACTGACTTTCCAATACTAATGGTGCACGAAAGGATTATGTATGCACAGTATGTCTAACTCATTCAAATTCAACTTGAATTTGGTCTGAAGCTACCTTATATGAAATGTTAGCTTTCCTGATATTGAATAATGCTTATTATGTTCACATATAAGCTGAAGAAAAAAAAAGTAATGCAAAAAGTACTTTACTCACGGTTATTGTTAGGTAAAATATAAGTATTTCTGGTTAGTTTAAAAAGCCTGTTTTCCTATAGATGAAGTAAGTTGAGTAAAAAGACTATGGAAAAGAGACTTAGGTCCTAGACTTGATTCTGGTACTAGCTCTTAGACCTTGGTTAACTCTTTAGCCTTTGCTGGGTCCATTCTCTCCTCTATGAATTTTGGGGTTGGGGTGGACTAGCTGACAAGTCAGGCCCTTTCCAAATTTTACCATTCCAAGATCCTAATATTCCAGATGCTATCATCTCGATATAAAAATAATAATCTTTCATAAAAGCTCACATAAACATATGATCAACTGTCAGAATGACTCTTGGGGGGAAAAACATATATGGTTTGCTATCTGGATTCTTCTTTGCAGCAGTTAGGCAATTCATTTGGCATCTGTTTGATTGTATAATTTAATGACAATATAAACAGCATAATTTTGTTATTTTTCCTTTAAAAAGCAAAAATGACTCAGAGCTAACAAAAACTACTGTGACATCAGTTTGACATTCAAAGTTGGTTTCTTAGCAAAATGGCCAAACATATTTTGACTTGGTACAGAATATATAATATAAAGACTTTTAGACTAGAAATCTTCAAACATTATATTTGAATTTAGCAAAACGTAAGCAAAATTTTTAATATCAAAGTGCTCAACAGTACTGCCTTAAAAGTCACTGCAAATGAACCATAAAATAACCGCATGGGAAGTAACATTTATTGTACAAATGGTTAATAAAAAGACACATTATAAATATATATATATGTAACCTGCTATATTTATATATAATTTGCTTATTTAATTTCTAGTTGGCGTATCCCAGTCACTGTGAACACCCCATTTAACTCAGCTTCCAGGAGCTGGTGGTCTCGCAATAAATACAGGCAAAGCTATTACAATATAACGTGCATACAAATGTTTTATACAAATAAGAACACTAGGCAACAAATTACCTCACAGGAATATGGCATTGAACAGTATAAACATACAAAAGGGAGTACGAGCACGGAATGTTGAAACGCAGCCCATGGATCCTTCCGGCACTCACATTCATACTACTTGTTAAAAAATAAGACTTGCTTACTCTCCATCATTGTCTTTGTCACTGATAACAAACATTAAGTTGTACATATTAAAAACCTTATTACCCCTGGTGTTTACCCTGTGTGATCCAGTTCCTATTTTTTTTTTTTTTTTTTTTGCATGTTCTTACCTAGGGACCAAACACGTGAGACTCACTGAACACAGCTGGGCTTCTGCATGACGGTGTCGGTCAGTTGCTATACCTGAAGGAAGTTGAGGGAACTAAACAGTTGTATGCCATCCACCTTATCATCTGAGCCCCCTTCCGGACAGCTGGACAGCCAGGGCAGGGATCTGGATCCGTAAGAATGGCCTGAAATATTGGATGGACCATACCTCAGAAGGGTTCTATCTAGAGGGCAGGTAGACAAAAACCTCTGCTAGGAAATTAGCACTTGTCCTTTGCTAACGTGCCTCCTTTTTATTTCTGTATAAAATAAAGGAGAGCTAATAGACAAGACGTAGTAAGACAGCACTTTAAAAATTGCACTTGTATATGGAAGCGAACAGCCATTATCACTTTGCGATGTCTGATGTATAGGTTATCGTCCATCTTTCACCACTGGTTAAAATATAAAGGAAGAAAGAAATTAAGATGAGGGGATTTCTGCCTTGTTTGCACCACATACGTACCCTTTGATACAGGAAAGTATATTCTAAAGCAATCATCTCAAGACAGGTCCTACCCTGGCGAACAACCCTTGGCTGTTCTTGTTTTTTAATACAAAGAAACTATAATTGTATCCTCCGGAAACAGTTTTCAAACAGTTATGCTATCCTTTTTTTTTTTTTCTTCTTCCCCCTGCTGGGATAGCATTATCCAAAAGTGCTTTGTTAGCAATTTCTTAAAAAACCCTCATGAACTATAACCCCCTCCCCACCCCAAACCCAAGCCTAAATATAAAACACAACCCCAACACAATACTCTGCACGTTTTCTGGCTTTAGGTTGTAAGGAAAAGTGCCAGAAGAAAAAAAGAAAAAGAAAAAAGTCTTTCATTTTGTCAGGAGCTGCTTTTTTTTTCTCTGAAGGAAGGACAGGAATGGTAGGTGTCCAGACCCCACCCTTTGCTGCTCAGCAAGCAGCTCGCGGGCAGAGGAGGCGGCTCCCTGCTCAGGCGGCTCCTCCTCAGAAAGGCAGGGTGTCCAGGAAGAGCTTGTCGATGATGGAAGGTGGGGACACCAAGTCTTCCAGCTTCAGGTAGAAGATGCGCTGGAGGCCCAGGGTGCAGATCTTGCGCAGTTCTACCAGGGCTCCCAGGACCTTGGGCTCCGGGGGCTCCAAGGCCTGCCCCTTGCTCTGGTGGTCCTTCAAGCTGCTTGTGATCTTGTTGCATAGCTCCTCCACTCTCTTTGGTTCTTTTAACCCATGTCGTTCTGCAGAGGCATAGGAAAGAACACGCTTAGGAGGCAGTTACATCTCAAGAAACCGTGAGCCCCTAAGCAAAGCCCGTGTCCTGTCCTGCCGGTGGAGATGGCATTTTACAACGTGCTCTCCGTTGCCAAAACCAGTTTGGCTCAGTGGATAGAGCGTCGGTCTGCGGACTGAAAGGTCCCAGCTTCTAGTCCACTCAAGGGCATGTACCTTGATTGCAGGCACAACCCCAGTGCGGGGGTGTGCAGGAGGCAGCTGGTCGATGTTTCTCTGTCATCGGTGTTTCTAACTTTCTATCTCTCTCCCTTCCTCTCTGTAAAAAATCAATAACATATATTTCAAACAAACACAAAGTACCCTCCTCCTTAGAGGTAATAGTTCTTGGAATCCCAAACTGTCACTCATTGTGTGCCCTCGAATAAGTCCCTTAACCTTTCAGTCCTGGTTTCCTTGTAAAATGAAGACAACATACCCAGCTCAGGGTTTCTGGGAAGAGGAGCCAAGGTGAATAATGCAGATGAAGTACACAGCTTCCTGCAGGTAGCCACATGGCCCGAATGACAGGATGGTTATTATTTTGCACACCTTATCCTACTGAGGTCTTACAAAAGCTCTGTCAGGAGGCAACTCCTTTTCAGAGGGACCTGGAATCACATCCAGGCACATGAATGGATGTTCCCATCTCAACAAACCCTCTTGGTGGGGGAGGCCCTACGTCCTATTGGCTAATGCAAGGGCTGCCCCGCAAGACCCCAAACGAAGTGCACTCCTGTGTTTTCATGGTAACCAACATTTTTTAAAATCCAGTTTATTTTTTCCTTGTTTTCCTCCATGAAACACTCAGGCACCTGTACCTGGCAGTCTGTACTAGACATGCATGTCCTCCTGCTGAGGAGATGGCAAAGTCACAGAGAAGGGAGGAGGCCCAGAAAGAGACAGTTGCAGGCATTTTTACCATGTGCTAGACACAAACACCGGCATCTTTTAAAATAAATAAATAAATAAAACAATATATAAAAGAGCCTCAAGTTAAATATTATGACCTCCTAGTTTGTGTATAATGTTAAGTGATTTTTCTAGTCTTCTGAGGCAGATGCTGCCTCTTGCCCCAGAGCAATGCAACTTCTCCCTGTAATGACAACGAGCCTGCCATCCAGCACCAATCACCGTGCTCCCTCCGCATGCAGGTATCAAAGCCTCTTTCCTAGTGAACACCTTGGCCCCAGTTCTCTCAAAGTTTTCATCTCTCAGTACCTGGACATGTAAAATAATAACTTGTGAGAGATGAAAAATATCCAACCAATTGGACATCACGTTTGAGTTTCTAATTTTCCCAACATTGATGTTTTTAGTTGGGAATATTTTTGTTACAAAAGTTATTTCCTTAAAGCATAAGTCATCAGAAAAATGAAGCAACTCTCCAGACATTTTTTTCTTCTTCTTCTTCTTCTTCTTCTCTTGCCCTAAATTAAAGGAGGCCCAGAGCCAGGAGATCTGCCTTCTTCCCTAGCTTGGCTAGATGAGTTTGAGTTGCTCCCTTTCTAGGGCCCATCTTAAAAGGAGGCGGTTGGACTTAATGACCTCTAAGGTCCCTTACAGCTTTGAGGTGTTAAAATTATATTCAGGTCCAACCGTGAACATTGCCAGCAGCATCCCAATGGATTGTAAACCTAAGACAATGCCCAACGTGTGGCAAGTAGCATAGCCAAAAACAAACAAAACAAAACAAAAAACCAACACAGTCCCCTAAATACCAAGCTTTGCAGTGTATAATTTTACTTTCTCCAGGAAACTAGCTAATCAACCTAGAGGCAAATCTGTTCCCATGGTTTACCTTTTCTCAATACATGCACTCAAGAATGAACTTCAGCCCTAACCTGTTTGGCTCAGTGGATAGAGAGTTGGCCTGCGGACTTAAGGGTCCCAGGCTCGATTCTGGTCAAGGGCATGTACTTTGGTTGTGGGCACATCCCCAGTAAGGAATGTGCAGGAGGCAGCTGATCAATGTTTCTAACTCTCTATCCCTCTCCCTTCCTCTCTGCAAAAAAATCAATAAAATATATTTTTAAAAAAAAGTGAACTTCAAGAGTAACCCAGCCTGAAATAGTGTTCTGCCTAAAAGTTTTATTTGCCCTGCAAAGCAAAGCAAAAAAACAAAACAAAACAAAAAAAAACCCCAAAAATAGTGCAAATTTGGCAGTATATTTCAAGAGCTATGAAATGTTCATTGCCTCTGACCAAGTAAGTAATCCCACTCACTGAAATTTATCTGGAAAAAAAAATTCAACAGGAGAATAAAACTGTATGCATGAAGATATTTTGTATGAGCATTATCTATTTAAAAAAAAACTGGGAAAAGATAAAGGGAGGAAGAACAGAGGAACCGGTAAGTAAAAAATAGTATGTCCACGCAATGGAAGACTCTATCGACATCAGAAAGGACAAATACTAACGCTATGAAGCAACATGGGAAAATACATAACATCACATTAAATAGAGAAAAGAACATGAAATGGTCTCTAAGTGGTGATTACATCTATGTAAAGATTATTTCGTCGTCTAGAGAAGGATGAAAGAAAACGGAAAAGTGAAAATATTTATGAGACTGTCAAATAACACTTTCCTTATTAAAAAAAAAAAAATCCAGGCTAATGCTGTTTGTATAACAAACCATGTTAAAATAGGACAAATGGGGATTCAGTCCTTTGTGAGGACTTCTAGCCTCAACCTGATCACACAATCATCTTGCTGATAGTACATTCTATTGATACTGAGCCATCTCACATTAGGTTCATGAGCTCAGAGGAGAGATGCTTCTCCCAGAATAAAATAGCAGTCCATTGATTTAGGCTTTCCCTTCCTTTCCGTGCCTCATGTCTTGAATTATACACAAGATGCCATATTCATGATCAGGATAAAGAAACTGAGCAATGTTGTTGGCTGGATTTCGAGAGAGAGTCGATTATGGAGCCTTGTAACCAGACTTTCTCATGGCCAAACTCACAAAAGGTGCCTCTGAGTTTTCCCTGCTCTCCAACCAGTGGTGACTGCTCAATAACTATGGCAACCATTATTTATTCAGTGAATTCAAGTGGAGATCGATACCTCCTGCCAGCTGGATCAACCCTAGGCCTGGAATTCCTTGAGGAATTCAGAGACACTCCTGTTAGAAGCCAGAGGCACCTCCTTTGTTGTTCTGAACAGCTACTGGATTTGTGGCTTCTTTACTTTTTTCAAAAGGGCTGAGATAAAATTCAGTCTCCATGCAAACTACTGCCAGCAGCCAGCAAGGTTTTTCAAATCACTAGGGAGTCACTAAGTGTCTAGGCGCTTCCTAGTAATTTGAAATTCCTCAAAACCCCAATCACTGACAGTTCAGCTTAAGGGACCCCCTTTCTTCTCGCAGCTCGGTAAACATGGCTGCAGAGCTGATATTCAGAGAGTTCGCTAACTCGGGAGGAAATCAGACATTTGAATTACCCCTGTGTGTAATAGGAATTACTCACAGATTTTAGTTTTAGATCTTTGTCCACCATTAAACAAAACAAGTTTCTCGGTGCTTCTTGCATTTTCATCTACATCATTTTTATACAATACTTCAGTATTCTAACTCAGCTTTATGTAAGTCAAAACTTTAAAACACAACTTCTAGAAATGGTTAAGTAGCGAATTTAGGTGTCAGAACCAAAACGATTTGAGTCATTTAGTTCCAACTCCCACCTAAGATAAGAATCTCCACTACAAGACACTACAGAGAATGCCAGGCACCGGCTGGACTAGGAGTTCACTGTTTCACCTGATAACAAAAATACAGGGGTGAGCAAAAGTAGGTTTACAGTTGTTCCTATGGAAAATAATGAAATAATTAATACATAATAATACAAGAATTCCCTTTTGCATACTCACAACTGTAAATCTACTTTTGCCTACCCCTGTATATGTATATATATTTAAAATATATTTTATTGATTTTTTTTTACAGAGAGGAAGGGAGAGGGATAGAGAGTTAGAAACATCAATGAGAGAGAAACATCGACCAGCTGCCTCCTGCACACCCCCCCACTGGGGATGTGCCTGCAAAGGCACATGCCCTTGACCGGAATCGAACCCGGGACCTCTCAGTCCACAGAACGACGCTCTATCCACTGAGCCAAACCAGTTTTGGCTATATTTGAAAGCATTTTGTACTACACTTTTACCTACATTATTTTATCACACCCTCACCCTACCCTTCGGATTAGGCAGGACACACCTCATCTTTGTTTAATAGATAAGGTAAGGCTCAGGGAGTTAAGTTACTTGCCCATGGTCAAAATTTACAAGTGGTTCATTTCTTTCACTCCAAATCCAGAAATACCAGGCTGCCTTGAACATTATGTTAGAATGTCCCTCCTCCTTCAGCCTCCCTGTAACTCCCTCCTACACTCTGGGTACCTCATTAACTAATTGATTAATTACCTCTTTCCACAAATATTTATTGAGGACCTACTTATAGCCACTGGGGTTAGAGCAGTGAACAAAACACACCACAGATCACGCTTCTAACCTGTGTGGTACCTAAGGACACTGCTGGTTTACTGTGTATTTAGCTATCCATGCCATAGGCATCTCTGCGAAGAGAGAGAAAGGGAGGCAGGAAGAAGAGGAGAGAGAGAGGAAAGAGATTTTAACTTAACCTAGTTAAACTCTCCTCATTCTTAAATCACAGATCAAATTGTTTTTCAAGCAAGTTTTTTCCTTTTATTCTCAGTCTAGATTATGTTTTTCTATTGTTTTTCTCTGAAGGATATAGAATCAGATATTTATGTGCCTCCTCCTTTAAATGTAAGCTCCATGGGGGCACGGATTGTGTTTGCTCCTTGTCACATCTCCAGCACCAAGCCTAGGAGACGCCAGAAGCACAGAGACCAGGCCCCACAGCGGATTCACTCTCACGCTCACTCCAGGACCTACAGTCACTGGGTACAACAGCCTGTCCTCTTTTTCTCTTCTTGCTATGAAATTTTATATGTGGTTTAACAAATGCTCAAAGCAATTCCATGGTACCTGCTTTCCCCCAAAATGGGCTGACGTGTTCTACTGCCATGACCTTGGTCTGCTGCTCCCTTGGTTTGCTGTGTCCTTCCTCTATATACCTTGCCATGTCTAGAAACCACCTCCTTGCGAAGTCATTCATGATCAGCACCTCCATCTTTCTACACCCCCCAACATGTTAGCAGTAATCTGGACTTCCCCTGCACTGACTCCGTCCCTTTTAAGGACTGGAGCACTAACCACCATACATGAGTCCATTGCATCATAATCAGATATGACTTCCTAGTAACCTATATACTTTCTGACAGCAGAATTCGGGCATGGCTCATTGTTGCATCCCTGGAGACTGACAATGTGCCTGAAATATAGACAGTACTCCATATTTGTTTAATGAATGGATGCTTATGAACTGACAATGTCACACAAACTTTCTATTGGGGGGAGGGGCTTCTTATTTACTAATCACAATGAACTGCAACTAGATGATCACCTCATTGGTATCCTGTCAGGAGCTAAGCCCTTTCATTACTCCTCGGACAGGGATATGGCACTGGCAGAGAGGAATGGCTAGGGTGGATGAAGTGAGACCTAAAAACATTTCACAGCCATAACTGCGGGGAACCCCCTTTTACTGTACGGAGGAAGAGAGATCAGAAAGAAACCATTTCCTGCCCCACCTCTCCACCAGTCACATAGAGAGAGGTGGGGGAAGAAGAAGGAAAAGAAAGAGAAAAAGAAAAAAAAAGCCATGTTTGTACAAACTAGCAATACTGTCCAGATTCTTAATTTTCCCGGAAGCCAGACGGGTTTGACTTGAAAGATCCCGTTTCCTTTCATGCGTTCACTGTGGTTTAGGAACAGACAATTCGGGGCTGTCTTGTTCTCTGATGCCAAGAACCCGAGTGATATCCCACAATCACCCTTTTTGACCCAACGGAGTTCATTCAGAAGTCAAGATTTCATGGGAGCCCGTGTTCAAATGAAATTAATATCCACAACAAGGCGCACTGCTGCTTCCCAGGCGCTGTCTATTCTGCCACTTCCTGATGCTTCCACACATTTCGAACTCCTTCCCATCCAGCAAATCACAAAAAGAATGCTGTCAGGTCCAGAAAGGAGAGAAGGGGGACTTATGTTATAACCTCAGCACCTAAAACAACCCGCTCTGCACTGGCTGGCAGGGCTGCAGGCAGGACCTGGAACTCCACCATAAAAGACTTGGCCTCTGATAAGTGCAGCTTAATTACTTTAGAATTACTGTCCTTTACTGAGCCTCTCTCAAACACCCAAGGAGAAATTCACCGAACACACTGCCTGTTTCCTCATGCACTGGGACTGATTTTGGACCCCAAAGGGAAGGGACAGGCATATGCCTATTTGAGGGAGTCCTTGACACCATCCTTCCAGCATGGAATGACTGCTTATTCTGAATTCAGCTTGGCTGCCTCACAAACCTAATTAAGAAAAAAAAAAAATAAATAAATAAATAAATATATATATATATATAAACAGAGAGGAAGGGAGAGAGCTAGAGAGCTAGAAAAGTTGATGAGAGAGAAGCATCTGCCTCTTGCACACTCCCTACCAGGGATGTGCCCACAACCAAGGTATATGCCCTTGACCGGAATCAAACCTGGGACCTTTCAGTCCGCAGACCGATGCTCTACTGCTGAGCCAAACCGGTTTCGAACACAAAGCTAATTTTATGTCATCCTTACTGCTGCCTCATAGAATACATGTTGCTTTCCCCATGCTACAGGTGTGGAAACTGAACGCATTACTCCATGGCACCTGCTTATTAAATAGGGGGTCCCAGATTAAAACCTGGGGGAGGCGCTGGATCCCAAAGTCCATGCTATGTCTGCCATTCCAGACTGCCTCCTTCTGGAGCATGCCTCCATACAATGGGCAGCAGGCTGAGCAGCCATGACCACAAGACACACAGCAACGTGCAGGCAGAGACAGGACTGGCACCACCTTTTCCTAATCCCTACTCTGTATTCTCAGCACTGAACCGGCCAATGTTCTCCATGTTGGGGCTTCCTGGCCTCACAGTTGCCTACTAATATTTACTTGACTTTGGACCCTCCTCTTAAACTACTAAGCTCTCACACCTGGACTGGCCTTTCTCCCCCCCCCCCCCCCCCCCCCACACCCCCGAGTCTCTTTTCTGCTATAATTTGTGCTCAAAACCCACTGCCAGGGCAGATCTTTCTAAAGGGCAAGCTTTCACATGATGCTCCTCTGCTCAAAGCTTTTCTGTGGCTCCCCACTGCTCTCAAGATAACCTGGAACCTTCTCACCTACGTGACAAAGGTTCTTCATGTCCAACCCCACCCTTACCTGTCGTGTCAGTCTCATTTCCCATCACTCTACTCTCTTTAGAGGTTTCCTTCCTGAAACTTGTAACAGCCACAGTTTCAATGGCTTAGGTAATTTTTTGTTTGTGCCTAGAAATCACGCTCCTTTCATTTTAGTTTGGTGACATCGTATCCTCTTTTGAGAAGACCTCGTGTGACCTCTTTTGAGAGACCACCCCCCACCTTTGGTCTCTCAGGACTTTGTACCCAATCCCTCATCCCCACCTTGGCACCCAATGCCCTGAATCACATGCATCATCTCTGAAAACCTACTGACATGCCAGAGTGCCTACATCAGCGAACACTTGTTGATTAACTACAGAGATTTGCTGATTTCCATAGAGATGTGGCAATGTACTGGGTTTATTTACAGAAAGCCAAGGCTGACTATAGATTGTATTTCTGGGTGTTATTTTTTTCTTTTCTTTTTTTTAATTAACTAAACTCCATTCTCTCCAGTTTTGAATGTTTAAATGTCCTAGGAAGAACTGAATGGTTTTGAAATTGAGCTGGAGAGCTTTAGTGGAAAGACAGCCTTTGAAGCCATTTCATTACAGTCCTGCTGGCCTGATATGCTTGTCCTTGAATGTGCTTATTATTTTTCTTAGGGTGCTCCTGTGTGCCATTTGGAAGTTCTTTTAATGGAGTCCATATCCTTTAAGACTGTCTTTATTCTTGATGTGCTGTCTCCCTTAGACGTCTCTGTCAGGTCCCATCAAAAGAAGAAAGACCACCTGGAGGAGGTGAAGTCCCACTTGGAATTCCGAGGGAATAAGCTAGTGTCTGATTCCTACTGTAGTACATGCCATTTAATTATCTTTGCCTACATGTACATCGTTCAGGGATGAACCAGCCTAGCATCTTAAGGTACTCAGACATACCTCATGTTGGCTAACAGTGAGGCCCCAAGAAGGTGCATGGAAACACTGCGCATCTCTGATGACCAGAAAGAAGGGCCCATCTTGCCAAAGGACGCATTTGGTCCCCTGTGAGATTCATCACCTGCCTGAAAAGCATGTTTTCTACCATCAAGAAGGTATTGAATCTGAACCTCTATTCTTAGTCCAACAGCCTAGGCTGGGCTTCAGTCTGATGGAAAGAATGGGAGATGAGCCCGAGGTGTGGCTAGCCTCTTAGGGAGCGTCCACCTGTTGTCACTGCCTCACCAGGCCCCAGTCTGGCCAAGAAGGATGAGATCACACTGGAAGTCCTGAAAATATCAAGACATAAAGGGAGCTCAGGCCTTGGGACCAGCCCCAGAGAGATGGAATCTCCTCTCTTATCCGATATGCCTTTCTAGTTCTCTCTCTCATTCCCCACTCCCTCCACCACCACTTTCTCATTCCATCTTGGGATCATTTATGTCCCCAAAGATAGAAAGAGAGACACATCTAAGGTCAGAAAGGCATAATATAGAAATCAAGTAAGTTTTATGTTTGTTTCTTCTTTTAAATATTATTGAGTTGAGCCATTTTTGCTGTGTACAAGTATCCATTCTCTCACTCCCCTGCCAATCAAAGTTGTAAATCAATAAACAGAGGTGTGTTTTATATGTGTAGTACTTTGGTTTTACTTTAGGTCGATAGCCAAGGACTGGAGAGAGGGGAAGACTCGCCCCTCAGTCCCACAGGAGCAGGCTAGTTAAGCTAATCTTCCTATGAAACCCGCGTGAAAATAACCCTGGAGCAGCAGTGCAACACTCAGCAGAGTGCCTGTGGAAATTTAGATGTTCATATATTGGGCTTGTTGGCAATGATAACTCAATAGGAATCCTCTCTCCTGGAGGTTCATGACAACACATTGCAGATATACATCTCCTGTTTAAACTAAGGAAAATGTCGCAGATTTCAGAACAGTGGCAGTCTGCAATTTTCCCAATTTGCTGGTGTGTATGCCAGCCGGAGCCAGACTCCACCTTAACACAGGAAAGGGGAGAGAGGGGGGATGTGGTCCCTTCGGGTGTCAGCAGGGCGGTGCTTACCTGTGATCATGCTCAGCGCTGACAGGCATGCTAAGGCTTGGATATCAAGGTTCAGGCTCTGCAAACTTAAGGAAAAGTCTTTAATGGAATCGAGCCACTCCCCAAATCCACGAAGGCACTGAAGTCGGTGCAGGACAAGTCCATTGCAGAATACAAACTTATCTTCAGCAGTGTTTGACCTACATGAGAAAGCCATGGGGGGTTGGGGATAGAAATACATTAAAATAGGTCCGCTCAGTCTATCCAACGGGATAACATTGCAACACATGGGCTTGCAGACAGCCACGGGTGTGGTGTTCAGAACCCGGGGTGGTGCCGTTAAACCGGCTCAAACACCCTGGATGAACACCCACCACCACTTGTCTATGCTAACTTCCTGAGTGAGCGAGCACCCATCCCTGGGGAAGCTGCCAGACTCTGTTGTGGGCTCACCTTGCTTCCCACAATGGGGTTCAGAGGGCTATTTCTAAACCTGCCCTGATAGTGTATATCAGCCCATCAGTGTCCCATACTTCTCTCATGAAAGGCGCCCTGCATCTTCTAGTGGTGATGGCCAACTAGATTCACCACTCAGCCGTGGGGCTCTGGGCACTCCTTTTCTGTCTCTGGCTTTCCTTTTCCTTATGAATACACAGGAGTTCTAATGGCTACCTTCTAAGATTATTGTGGGAAGTGATAAAATATAGGATCTGAAATCATGCACAATGCCTGGTATACCAGAGGAGTATTAGGTGTAATTAATTCTCAATTCTATGTGGTCCTAACTTTAATCTTAGCCTTCCTTTAATTTCCAAATTGCTTTCCACATACTTATCCTTTCAGCCTACTGCACTAACAAGTTCATATCTCTAACTGTGCCTCTTGGATGAAGAGTTTCATTCATTCATTCACTAGTCATTCATTCACTGAGCACCACATAGGTGCCATGCCGAGAGCCAGGCACTGGAGGAAATGGCGTGACTAGAGCAGGTAGAGTGCTTGCTCACATGGAGCTAGTCATTCGCTCAATCCTATGCTGCCTGCCTAACAGATGATAGTCACATCGTTGGCGTGGCTCCTGCGTACTGCCTCTCCCACAGATGCTTCCACAGAGGTACACAATGACCTCTCAATCTGAGTTTAAAACCTGGACCTCAGCCGAAACCGGTTTGGCTCAGTGGTAGAGCGTCGGTCTGTGGACTGAAAGTTCCCAGGTTCGATTCCGGTCAAGGGCATGTACATTGGTTGCGGGCACATCCCCGGTAGGAGGTGTGCAAGAGGCAGCTGGTCGATGTTTCTCTCTCATCGATGTTTCTAGCTCTCTATCCCTCTCTCCTCCTCTCTGTAAAAAATCAATAAAATATATTTAAAAAAAATAAAAATAAAAAATAAAACCTGGACCTCAGAACACTGGCATCAAACACTGGAGCATGAGTTAAAATGCAGATTTGTGGGCTTCTAAAACAAAAAAATATAGCTGGGAATGACGCCTGGGAATCTGCACTTTAAACAAGAATTTCTGCTAACACAATATGAAATTGGAGGGGAGGGTAAGGAAGAGAATGAGGGGAAAAGGACTTTCCTTATAATATTTGGTGAAATGTTGGTACCATCTCCTAAAATGATATAACAGCAGGGAAGCAAGGAATTTAAAGTGTTCCTCATGCTAAGATTCTAGGTCCCGGCTTTTTGGAAAAGAACTTCTGCTTTGTGTTTGGTGTCCCTGAGCATGAAAGGCTGAACCGAAGCTTTTGATCTGGGAGCTATTCTCTTGGAGTAAACACTGGGGGTTGAGAGGCAGTGGGAACTCTTTGGAGCCCCATCTGGTGTACTGGAACGGGGACTTGTAAATAGAAACCCTGTGAGGTAAATGCAATGTTCTCAACAAATTCGTGCTCCCAGGAAATACTTTATGCACCACGAGACTCTATAGAATCCCAGAGAGCTGGCATTACCAGGAGCTTCGGAGATCACCACACCCCGCCTCCTCATTTTACAATACAAAGAAAGGGAACTGAACTTCCGATGAGGCCAGTGACCTGGTCAGGGTCGTACAGCAATCCATGAGGGTAGAACCCAGGAGTCCTGGCTTGCAGTCCAATGCACTACCCACTACTCAGTTTTTAAATGCCTGATCATATTTGATATTTCCTTCTTGAGCAACCTTCTCCCCGATGACCTATTTGCAAACACAGCAGGTTTCCAAGTTCTTCAAAGGAAGGAGTGGACTGAGGTAGATAAAATAATAGTAATTACCTGATGGAAAGTCTGAGAACGAACAGCTCCAAAAAGGCTGATTCTATAAGTAATGCCTGATCTTCTTTGGGGAGATCAGTGAATCCAGGGATCTTTTCTGCCCAGCTTCTGGAGACGTCAATGGAGGCTGTCAGGAGGTTGTAGAACTGTTGTACATGCTCAGCATCTGTGCCTGCAGCAGCCTGGTCGGAGGAACAGTACTAGAATGCAAACCACAGGCAGCAGTGTTATCTCAGTTCAACGGGGATGACAGCATCCTTTGCAAATGGGCTCTCCCAAGGCTGTCTAATCCTTACTTTTAGATCCCACCGTTGCATTCATGGTCTCATCTGATTCTCACAGTGGTCCCATGATATAGAGTGAAGGCTGTTACCATTTAATAAGGAAATTTGCTGAGGTCCCATCATTGCGGTGGTTTTCAGTCCTGACTGCAATCCTCTGGGGAGCTTTAATAAACACTCATGTCTGGGTCATCGCTACAGAGATTCTAATTCCACTGGTCTGGGTTGAGGACTGGTCATCAGGTGATTCCCAAGGGCAGCCAGTGTTGAGAACCAGTATCTCAGGGGGTCTGTGTCTGAGTGAATCTCCCTCACCTACTGACTCCACTAAAGTACAGCTGCCTCCAAACAAGATGCTTCATTAATCCGTGGCTCTCAAAGTGTGGTCCCTGGACCAGCAGCATCAGCAACACCAGGGAATGTACCAGAAAAGAACACTTTGAGTCCTGCCCCAGGCCTACAGAATCAGTAACGCTGCAAGTTGGCCTAATACACTATTTGATCAAGATCTCCAGGTGATTCTCATGCACACTGAAGTCTGGGGAAGACAGAATTAAGGGATAGGAGAAGAGAATGATTTCCGCTTGCTGTAGATAGATTTCTGTGAGACAAGACAAACCAGGAAGAGGAAAAGGGAGGGGGTCTCAGGGGCAGGGCACGGGCGGCTGTGTGCCATCAGACTCGGGACTGTGGCTACTTCAATTAATGAACGTAAAATGAAAATTCAGTTCCTCAGTTACACCAGCCCCATTTCAAGCTCAGTAACCACCTGTGATACAGAACGTTTCCATCACCGCAGAACATTCTGTTGAACAGCATTGATCTAGAAAGTCCCAGGAGAAGAAAGATACAAGTAGGAATAAAGTCTCTGCCCAGCTTTTGGATATTCTTGTAGAGTCAGGGTTTTGTCGGAATCACAGGAAGACAAGCTTTCCTACTTGAGGCAAAAAGTTTGATACAGCAAGGTAATCATCAAGGGACAATCAGCAGCACAGACAGACCTGCGCAACACACATGCGAATAAGCACATCATTCCCTTCACACTAAGAGCTGCGTGTGCTTTTGCCTCCCTTCTCTAGGTTAGTCCTCCTGGGGTATAGATTCTAATTCTTCTTTTACAAATGAGGAAACCGAGGCCCAGAGAAGCTCAGAGAGTCTCCAACAGCGGTATCGCCAAGACTTCCACGGGGCTTTGTGGTTTCCAGGCTTAGCTGTTAATATGTCTGATGTTTCTTGCTGGTAGCTCACAGTATAGCATTTTATTTTGCTCTAATTGGAGGTCTCCAGGTATGTATTCCTTTGGTCCCATGTTTCGTCAGCAGCTCAGTGACTGGCACCTGAATGACTCTCAATCAATAGTTGTTGAATCCTCTTTGATGAAAGAAGAGTCAGGGGAATGCCTAGGCTTGCCACAATGCCCTAACCTGGCTGGAGGAGAATCAGCCAATAAGCAGCCAGGTCCTTATTGTAGAGCTACTTAGGCATGAGGAAATGAGGCACTTGTCTCAATTGGGCTCCTCGGACCTCCCTCACCCACACCCCTTTTTCTGCTTTCCCAAGAGGCATCATGAAGTAACAAAAGGAACATCAGACAAGGAGCCGAGCTACTTTAACCCTTGACTTGTCCAAGCCCCTCATTTGCGAAACAGGGTAGCTGTGCTGCTGACTTTAGATATCTGGGGTAAACGACTCCACTTTTATGAGCTTCAGTTTTTCCCCTCTGTAAAACGGGAACGGAGCCTTCCTCAATATTTTGTTGTGATGATTGCAGGTGATAGCATATGTGAAAGGCCTGACACGTGGAACACGTTTCACAGACGATGACAGTGATGCTCCGAATGATACTTGAAACGCTCACTGTCCCTCAGCCTCCACAATTATAAAATGAGAGAAGGTTTCTACGTTTCAGCCCTGACTATCTAGGATCCTATAACCATGGTCTGCCAACTGTGGCTGCTTTTTGGCTCCTTGAGTGTGGCTCTTCCAAAAAATGCCATGGTCCAAGCGAGTCTATTTTGAAGAAGTGGCGTTAGAAGAAGTTTAAGTTTAAAAAATTTCAATCATTGTACTGTTGATATTTGGTTCTGTTGACTAATGAGTTTGCCGACCCCTGTCCTATAACATCAGGTCCAGTTCAGAGCCCTGGATCATACCCCTTACTGTCCAGACTCTATGAAGCCCCGATGTTTCTGTAATGGGTTCAATGAACCACGGGAGAGAGAACCAGTCTTCCTTCCTATGGATAGTCAAGGATAGCAGCCTGATCCTGGTGCCAGATACTCCCCATCACCTCCTTTCAATTCACACTCTCTGTATTAATTGCAGGAGAGTGGGAAAGGGGATTTTATTTTGCTTGCTTTCTTTCTCCTCTGATATTAATCTAATTCCACATGCTCTCTAAGGGCAGGATGAAAAGCGGGGCAGGACCACAGTTAGAAAGCTGACAGCACTACATGTGAAACCCCCGAAGGAGTGATAACATGGAGCAGAGGCAGTGATCATGGGGACCTCCTCCAGGCTCAGGCACTGACTTGCTGTGCAGCCCTAGACAAGTCACCTCACTTCTCTGGGCCTGTTTCTGCCTCTGAAGTAGGAAGTGACTGCCCTAGCAGATCCCTAAGATTCCTTCTGCCTCTTGCATGCAGCCATTTTTCTGTTATTGATTTCTTTTCTATCTTTTTTAATTGCTAAGATATGTTTTATGGCCCAGACTATCAGCAGTCCTGGTGAATGTTCCATGTGCTGGCTCTTGCATGCAGTGATTCTAAATGTGGCTAATCACACAGGTATAAAGTTATTGCCTGGACTTAAAATTTTTTTTTCTTGATTAAAGTATTACACATGTGTCCTTATCCTCCCATTGTTCCCCTCTCCCCCAACACACACACACACACACACACACACACACACTCACTCACACACACACACATACACTCATGCCCTCACCTCCCTGGTGTCTGTGTCCATTGGTTAGGCTTATATACATTGCCTAGAATTTGACTTCGATTCAGCATTGTTTTGTTTTAAAACAGTGAGTAAAATGGAGAGAAAAAGACCAAAGAATGAAAACTTTTCCCTGGGCATGGGACCTCACAGCTCCCTCTTGCACTGACTTCCCTGAAACCATGGCTCACAACTCAATAATCTCTGCGCTTCCAATATTTGCTCACCATCCCCCAGAGCACTTAGCTTTCGCCCAGGGTCCCCCGCAGGCCTCTGCCCCTGCTGGGCTCACATTTCACGCATCCTGCACACAGGGAAATGCGGCCCCTGCCTGCCCTGTGTGTGCCGTTTTCCCTGATGAGGCCCAGCAAGGAGAAAAGCCAGCAGGCCTGGTATGCCAGGCTGCAGCCAGGCCCTCTGGGCTTCCCCTGCGTTGATTCTAGTCCACGTTCCAGTATTCTGGAGCCAAAGTGGACTCCTGGGCCACCAGTAACTTGGGGGTGAATGGAGGGTCAGCATCCAATGCTGAGGGAAAAGACAAACCAAGTTTCCCCTCTACTGAATAGAAGACGAAGAAACATAACAAAAGATTTAAAAAAAATTTTTTTCTCTGCCTGACCTAGCACTTTATAAAAACCCCACCAAGGACTGCTGGACCTGGAGTTGGAAGAACCAGCTCCCCATTTCTGCTTGTGTGCGCCCCTGCATTACTCTCTCAGGGCCAAGCAGGTTTGGGGCTCACCAAAGGAAGTCTAGAAATATTTGTTTATTGATCAAACATAGGCCACACAGAGAAAGACTTTAGAAATGAATCCTAACTTTTTATTCTCGTCTGTATGGATAACTGACCCATCAAAAATCAGGCTTTCGCCATAGCCAGTTTGGCTCAGTGGATAGAGTGTCCTGGGTTTGATTCCTGCCAAGGGCACATGCCTGGGTTGCAGGCTCCATCTCCAGCAGTGGGGGGCATGTAGGAGGCAGCCAATCAATGATTCTCTCTCATCATTGATGTTTCTCTCTCTCTCTCTCCCTCTCCTTTTTTGAAATTAATAAAAAAAAATTTTTTTTAAATAGGGCTTTACAACTAGTCAAAGATACAGTATTACAATTACTGATGTCTAATCGTGATTTCACCAAAGTACCTGGAATGAGAATCTAGAGCTACAAACAACAGTGAAAGCTATTTAATCTGAAACGAGTCTACACATTTTATATGGCAATAATGTGGCTACACAGGTCAGACGTGAGGCAGAGCCTAGGCCTAAAGTGAATTATTTGAATGGGAACACCAGGCCTAAAAAAATTAGCAATATGATGCTGTCATAGCAATGTGGAATCTGGCGTTTACTCTATCTCACTTATCAGTCCAGGCTAAACATGTAAAATACCCTAAGAACATTTTATCTCCCCTTACAGTGTTACTTTTCCCTGGGTCTTTATATAGTTTAGATGTGATCACTCTAGAAGCCAAACTACATATACATATTCTTAAATTCTTACACTTAAAAATTGGCAGTGAATATATTTCCCCCCACATTTATTCCTTTCTTATCTAATTAACTCACCTTAAAGACAAAACCAGAAACAAATAAACAAACAAACTGCCCCCCTCCCAATGGCATAGTTATTTGGTTACTTTCTCTTTTCTTCACGAAGGTAGGAGCATTTTTTTGTTTTGTTTTTTTAATCCACACCTGAGGAGTGGATATTTTTTCCATTGCTTTTCAGAGTGGAAGGAAAGAGGGAGGGAGGGAGGGAGGGAGGGAGGGAGAGAGAGAGAGAAGAGAAACATTGATGTCAGAGAGACACATTGATTGGTTGCTTAGCACCCCTCTTCCCCTCCTGGACTAGGGGTGGGGATCAAACCTGCAACCCAGGTATGTGCCCTTGACTGGGAATAGAACCTGTGACCCTCTGGTGTGCAGGCCGATGCTCTTACCACTGAATAATGGTGGCCAGGAGAGTGTTTCTTATTC